AGGGGCATTTCTGAGGAAGAATGATGTGCGTTTGTCGAGATTGCGGCCCCTTGTTCCCATCATGCAACGTGTGCCGAAAAGGCGTGGTTGATGTCTAAATGGCTCATTCTCAGTCTCCTGAGCTCAAAACCCTAGGCCCTAACCTTATGAGAGGGCCCCACCCCTTGGTCCCAGCTCTGCTGATTTTCACCGCAGGTCTTCGACTCCTTGGCCAATGGAAAGGCTGCCCCTATAAAGACTTAGGGTATTTGCTGTAAGGTTCAGGGTTCTAGATAGGGATGCACAGGGGTTGGGCCAAATTTAGGTGAGGCGTCTTGAAGAAGTGCTTTGTTTACAAGCTCTGGAGCTTTCCAAAGGTTCCACGCAGTTGTAACATGGATGTGATTAAGGCTCGAGAATTCTGGGATTGGATTTTTTCATGGGAGTAGGACGGTGATTACCACCCAGTGTGATTTTTGAGAGTTTTCCGGTTGCGGCTCAACATCAGGGTTACCCTAAACCCTAAACCCTATCTCCGGCCCCGCAAAGCTTTTGCTCTTACAAAGTTCGTTCAACAACCCTAAACCCTCCTTGGGGGAGGGAGGCCTACAACCCTCCCTTTCAAGTGGGTGCCCCTGAACCCTACGCCTCAAACAGCGGAGGTGTTACCTGCCTTCCCGTGAGATTCCAAATGCCCAGCAATGATACACTTGCCCGATACCTGGAAACCATTACTGTTCTGTAGCTACTTGGACCCTTAGGGTCTGGACCTTAAACGCGAAACCCAAGACCCTAAACCCTGAACCAAAAACCTTAAACTACACCCTCAACCCTTAGGGTATTAACCCCTAAACCCTTACAGCTTGGGAAGGACACTATTGGCCTTTTGGAGTTCAAGACCACTGCCAAGTTCTTGGCCCAGCTCTCCGAGGAGTAGTATAGAGATAGGGGTTATGTATGGGTATGGGTATTAGGGCATAGGTTTAGGGTTTAAGACTTAGGGTTTAAGGTTCAGGGTTAATCATGGAGACGCAGACGGCAGATGGAGACGAGACGTGACATGGAGACTGAAGACAGTTTTTGAGTTTTTTCGAGTTTCACTGAAAAAAGGTTTCGTGTTCAGAAATTAAGATACACGGGTTATATGGTGAATTCCAATAAGCTTAGAGATCGTCAGGAATCCCCATCATAAGGATTGTAGTGCATGGGGTCTAGCCTTAGCCCCTTGTTTTGGCAAATCCCAGAGCTACTCTGAGAATTCCCGTTCTGTTTGGGAAGTCGGGCTGCCAGTGCAGACTGGGTTTGACATTCCTGACAACGTCCAGGTTTCTCAGTTACATGTGTACGCTGATTGCACTTGACAACTGGAAGTCCTCGCGAAATCCCTGAATCTCAAATCCCAGGCGCTGAGAACACTAGATCCTAAACCCTGTGCCCTGCAGACCCTAAATTAAGGCATTCATCCCCAAAACAACATGCTTCAACAAGGGGTTATCTCAGCTTCCATGCTTGTTCCCAAGGGGGCACAGTGGAGTCCAGAAAGTTGGAACATGAGTATCCTCCTACTCCAAGACCTAGACTCTATCGGGGCCTCCAAAATGTGCGTTTTAATTTGTGGTCATTTTAAGCCTAAAAACAATAGGGGCCTCCAAAAAACAAATATGTATATATATATATATGTATATATATATATATTTATGTGTATATGTGATTTTTGGTTATTTTAGTCCTTAATAATGCACATTTTTTTGTGGGGTTCTGAGACCGGTATAGGACTTAGAACCTTATTACTTGTTGGCCTTTACTGCCCTAAACCCTACCTGGACCCTGGATGTATTACCTTTCAGGGGATAGACCTTACACAATGTAGGGCACAATCCCTAAAAAGAAGGGACAGCCAGTTTTTGTCCGCTGTCGCAGGACTTCAGCGCTGACCCGGAGGAGGCCTTCAGTAGGATAGATGAGAACCAGGACTCAGGGCTAGGAGTCTAAGGATGATGGTTTGGGTTAGGAGGACCCCCCCCCCAGCCTGTAATAGTGGTATAATAGGAATATAAGAGGACCCGAATATGATCCTTATTATCCGTAATAGCCACTATTATTGGGTGGGGGGTCCACCAAAGGTATGGGTTCTGGGAATAAGAGGCTTTAGGGACCTTGGCTCTGCACCTTAGGGTTTGGAGCTCAGGGTGTAGGGTCGAGGTTTTGGCCAGTTTTTTGCACTTCACCTGAGAGTTGCTTTCAGCTTTTAGGGTTCTGGGCTTTGGGCTTTACCATACCCCTCAACATTTCTAAGTGCCCTAAACACCCCCCAAGCCTAAACCCTATAGCCCAAACCCTAAATCCTGAACCCCGTAGACTGGGCGAGAACCAGGATCATCGGATCGATCGCGTGGAGTTCGAGCAGGAGATCAATCAGATCAGAGGTCTTCTTGGAACACGGAAGCTGGATCATGATCGGGTAAAGTGTTTAGGGTTTAGGCTTGCACATTCCAAGACGCTCCTGGTACTCTTAATTATTAAGTGTCCAGGTTTGCTAGGTTTGGGCCCCATATTCTGACAGGCCCTAAAGGGGTAATGGGTAGTGCAATGGGGTTCAGTGTCGGGGCTTTTTTGGGACTGTTACCCTGCAGCCTAAGCCCTGAGCTAAGAATTATCTGGAAGTCGGCCTGTCATGAACCTACTTGCGACCCAGACCTCATTCCAAGTTGAAATGTTTTCGTGCCGAGTGCTAAATTCCAGCCCCTAAACCCCAAACCCTGGACCTTGAAAACCATGTGATCTGTCTGGAGTAACCCAGACCCCAGACCCTTAAAAGAGTAAGGATATCAGCATATGACGTACAAACAATTATGTCATGGGTACATGGGCTACTCTAGTAATTATAGTAGTAAGTGTAGTAATTCATGATGATATTAATTGTATTATAGTAGTAATAGTAATAACAATACTACTAATAATAATAATAGTCATGATAGTAATAGTAGTAGGTAGACCCGGAACTCAGGAAGTTGGCAGCTGCGCTGGGGCAGGTACAGCAAGACCTGCAAATCCGCCAGTCCTTCGTCGAAGAGACACCAACCCAAGAACAGGCTATGTAGGGGTTATTTAGGTGTAATGGAAAAGAAAATGGAAACTACTATTTAGGGTTTAGGGTCTAGGGGACTAGGAATTAGACTGTGCAAGCCCAAGGGCTAAAACATTCTGGGAGCTGTCCTTATTGAAAGGAAGTTGAAGCCCTAAACCCTATATCTCCAGATAGAACCCCTTGAACCCCCTCTAAAGGTACCCCCTAATTTTGGGAAACCCTCATAGATGCTTCCCAGGTTTCCTAAGCGGGTTTAGGCTCTCGGGGTTCTGGGGGTTTGGGAGTTTAGGGTTCGGGGTGAAGGGTTGTATGGCTAAGGAATTTACAGTTTAGGGTTAGGGCCTAGGGTCGGGGTTAAGGGTTGTAGGGCTTAATTAGGGTTTTACAGTTTAGGGTCTAGGGTAGTAAGGCGGAGAGATAGCGGGAGAAGTTGTGGTGGTACTGACATTGCCGGATGAAAGAGTAGGGGCAATCCTGGTAAGAAGCGTGATCGTCGCACTCATAATTGCAGTAGAAAAAAGAGCCGCAACAAACCGTACTAACCAAGAGCAGGCGCCCGAAATGGAGTCGCTCGATGCCCGGACACAAGTACTGGAGCAGATGGTTGGGTATTTTTCCGCTCTTCGGGAGGACCCAAGGGGGTTTCTGAAAATTGGGGTCTCGAGCGGCCTTCCACAAAACACGGATACTGCTGATTTTTGCATACATACCCTAAACCCTAAAACCCTAAACCCTAAACCTTCTGAAAACCAAGCACCTAAACCCTTCTAGGAGCCTTGGAGCCGTCAACAAGGGCTCTCCCAATCGCTACCTCCCAGCAAAAACGACCAAAGCTTAGACACTAAAGCTGGGGCCTTAGATCCTCACCCATAATCTGGGTTGCTGTTAGGGAAATCAAGTTAAGTTACGAAAACCAGGAAATGGTATTATTGACTTGTTCACTATTTATCCATGATATGGCAACTCAAACCCCAAACCCCGTATACCACATAAAATGGTAACTTAAACCTACAACCCTAAACCTAAACCCTATATTGTGCCCCATAATATGGTAACTTAAGTTCCTAAACAGCAACACGGTCAAGGTGTGTAGGCTTGACCCCGAACCTAGAGGGCACCTAAGTGAGGGTTCGTAGGCGTCACGGGGCTTCCCTAGGAGTTCTATGAAGCCATGCAGGGATTTACAGGGTTCAGGGTTATAGCCTCTGAGCCCAGAGGACTATAGCCAGAAGCTGGATGACCTGAAGCAGCAACAGGCCGCATTGCAGGCACGTGAGGATATGGGAAACTTTGATGCATTGTTTGTGAGGTTGTGCTGACCCTAGCTATACATATCTGCCCGCCTATAGAATTATATACATCCTCTATCATCCAATCGCTTTGTGAAAGCCCTGGCTGGGCGCATCAATAGGGCGTGGGGTCGTCATCTTCAGTGAAACAGGTCCTACGTGGGCCTTTACTGGGGGTGGGGGTGTCAGGCTGGGGGTAGTGTAAGATCCTAAGAACTATAGGGGTTCAGGGTTTAGGGTAACAGAAAATATAGCGTACATGACAAGGAAGAAAAAATTATCCAACTGTTCCTTCCTGGGTAGACCAAGCCGTATTGTCCGCAAATTCTGGAAACATGCGGCCTCCCCGGCAGAGGGTCCTGGTGAAGAGAGGATACTGTAAGGGTTGTCCTGCAAGCTTTCATTTGGCTTTGCTTTTGGGACGCCCTACACCGTAAACGCTAAATCTTGTTGGCATCTGCATGAGAAAGCATGGCTTAAGTTTGAAACCCCCACACCTCAAAGCGCCCAAGACTGTATCTTAAACTTGAAGCCAAGCCTTGGAAGCCAAGCCCAAAACTGAACACCAGACTCCAGACTTTAAACCTAAAATCTAAACCTAAAATCTGAACCCCGAGCACCAATCCATCGACGAGCCCACCTAGGAAAGGCCAAAGCGCCTCCCCGTGCCCGCGTTTTCGCGGGCCGCAGCAAGAAAGCCGAGCCCAGCATGAACTCCTCGCAGAGGACTGTGTTGTGTGTTGCGCTCTTTGGGGGTTTGCTTCCTTCGATATACCTTTCATTATTACCATATTATACCTACAGCCCTATATAACCCTCATATGAATGGACATCATAGGCTGGCGAAGCTTTGCTGGAGCCTGCGATCGTAAGCCGTCCCTAAGGTTTGGCAAGCCATCATTTGATTGGTTGTTAGTGCAGTAGGCCATAGTGGAATACAAGCCTGAAAATAATCCCTTGTTCCGCACTAACCTTAATCCCTATATATAAATCCAATATGTATATATATACATGAATATATATATATATATATATTTCCTACGAACTCCGGTAAGCCATGATGACGCAGGATGAACCTGACGGCATCCTTGGGTGCGAGCGCGCGGCTAGAGATGAAGAGGCAGCGCCTTTCCCACAAAGTAAGTCGGTCGTGTTTCCAGGGTTTAGGGTTTGGGGTGGTTTGTTTACTGGTGTTTAGTAGGGAATAAGGGAACATATCATGTAATTAGGGATTATATTCCGTTATTCCCTACTAGCCACCAGTAAGTTTAGGGTTGAGGACTCTGGGTAACTCCTGGGGTAAGCCATAGTCAATTAATTTTGGGCAAATGTGTCAAGATTTGGGAGTCTGTGACCTATGGAACCTGACAATCCCCAAGCCCTAAACCCAATGTTGATTTGGTAAACTAGGCTGACTTGTTATCATGAGTTTTTGACTCTTACAGCTGGCCGCCTCCTCATCCCACGGCATGTGAAACCTCTGAAAGGGGGCCTAATTACACAGACCGCGGTCCGCCTTAATGTGTTGACTGGGGGATTCCCAATGGGGTCCCTTCCCCATATTCCCCATATTGAGGATGAAAGCATTTTAGAGTCGATGTTGGGGTCACCAAAATATTTAAAAAAATCCGTGCAGTGTTCCGTGTCAGTTTTGGGGATAATACTGTTTAGATGAATGCCGAACGTTCATGTGCACCGCGGTCAAACAAGAGACAAAGCCTACCCCTCTCCCCGCTGGCATTGACAAACTGGCAAGGGCATGTTAGGACCACCTATGAAGTCCAGGTAGGGACAAATCCGAAGCTATCACCGGGGAATATCCTACAGTACATATCACCTGCTTCGAAGTTTTACCTACCTAGCCTAAGGTACACGCATCAGGACGATTTTGATGGTCCAGACCTGCAGAAGGAAGGCCAAGTGACAGGGCAAGAGGCGGAAGACGGGGAGGAACCTGACGAAGGCACAGATGCTTAGTAGGAAAGGGGAAAGAGGAGGTATGAAGATCACGGCATTTAGGGGTTGGGTTTAGGGTATGTTAGAGCTAGGAATAGGTGGGGGAATGGCTTGTAGGGATAAAGAAGATATTGCGCCCATTTGCACCCGAAGGAAACCTTCCCTCATCCCCTACTAATAAGTACCAGGTAGCGAAGCTGAAGACGAAGCGGAGAACGAAGAGCCGGAGCAGGATGAGGAAGCGAGCAACGAAGAGGAAGAGGAAGAAGAAAACGAGGATGAGAACGAGGATGAAGAAGATGAGGAGCCAGATGACGATGAAGCAGACGGACAGGAGGATGAAGCGGACGATGGGAGAGCAAATGAAGAGGATGAGGCAACGCAGCTGGTGGCTGCAATCAGCGCTAGCGAAGCTGAAGGGAAGACTGACCTGGAGGCTACTCTGCAACCTGGCAGCCTACCGGATCCGGAGGAGGAATCGCCACAGGATCCTCAAAGTGAGGATCCGAAGGAGCACGCGCAACCGGTTGAGGCAGCGGCGGAGCCTACGAGCAAAGATGTGACGCCGGTCCCGGCAGCGGCGCCAACAGAAGCGGCCAAAGCAGAGGCACCAGTGTCGCAAGCAGTCTCCACCGAGGCCGCAGCTGCGCAAGGTTCTTCAGCTGCTCCGGCGCAGCCGGCAGCTCCCAAAAAAGGAGCCAAGGCTAAGAAGAAGCCGAAGGCAAAGCCAAAGAAAGAGGTAGCGCCAAAGAAAACGCAGCACACCCAGAGCAAGGTGGACGTAGTCAAGGTTGACTCACAACGGCCTTCAGTGTCTGGTCCTGTGGTGTCTGAGCCTGCAAGCACCAAGAGCCTTGGCTGCCGTTGAAGAACTTCGTTCAAGCTACAATAGGGTTCAGGGCTTAGGGCCAGGGTTTAGGGTTTAAGATGCCATAACAGGGTATATAGTAGATCATAGGGGTACCTGATCAAGTAGCTGATTTGAAGTTCCCGTAACCCTAAACCCTAGATATTTCTATATACTTACCCTATCTACCCTCCTTAGAGTAAGTTATTTTGAGTTCCCTGAACCCTATATCTCCCTATATATTCCTATATACTTAGCGCTATATACCCTTCTTAGAGTAACTTACTTCAAATTCCCTAAACCCTAAACCCGATATCTCCCCATTTTTCTTTATAGTTGCCCCTCTATACCCTTCTTATAGTAACTTACTTTACGTTCCTAAGCCCAGAACCCTAAACCCTAAACCCTGAGCCCTAGAACCCCAAAACCCTAAAACCCTGAACCCTAACCCTAAAACCCTGAAACCCTAAACCCTAAAGCCCTAAACCCTTAACCCTAAAACCCTGAAACTTTCAAACCCTGAAGCCCTAAACCCTAAACCTTTTATACACCCTAAAACCCAAAACCCTAAACCCTCAAGCCCTTTGACCCTTAACCCTTTAACCCTTAAATTAGCAATCCAGGAGCCAGATCACTCCTTCCAAGACTGCCAAGAAGGGCCTGGAGGAGGACGGCTTCCGATGTGTGCAAACCCTGGAGATGGGTTTCCAAGTTTCTTTTGGAGTTTAGGGCTTAGGTTTAGGGTTTGGGGGTTTAGGGTTTAGGGTTTTAGAGTTTTAGGGTTTTAGGGTTTTAGGGTATAGGGTTTTAGGGTTCAGGGTTTTAGGGTTTTAGGGTTTAGGGTCTGGGGTGTCGGGCTTCGCCAAACT